CATTACTGGTCTTGGAATCTACCTTCATTGTCATTTTGTGGATTCTGTTAGTTTCTTCTCTATTGAATCCCCTGTCTCCTGAATCCATGTTTTCTTATTCTTGATTTACTCTTTCCTTTTGATGGAAACATTTTCTAATAATTTCCTGGAAAAGGATGCATAAGGGATAAATTTTTAAAGACTGTGCCTTATTTCTTCAAGCTAGATTATCTAGGAGCAGAGTAATTGAATAACAGTATGACTATTTTAATTCTGATTCCTGGATTCAGTTCCAATATTGCTGAAGCAGAATGTTTGACAAAAGTAGCTGAAATCTTAAACTTTGACTTTACTATTTTTAAAACATTTTTAAATTAAAATTCTCTCTAAAAATTTACAAGATTATTAAAATCATAGTGAGACATTGTGTCACACCAAATAAATGGCTACAGTAAAAAAATACTGATATACCAAATGTTGACAGGATGTGGAGAAATTGAATCTTTCGTACAGTGCTGTTAGGAGTGTAAAATGGTACAGCTACTTTGAAACATTGGCAGTTTATTATGAAGTTAAATTTATACTTACCGTATAACCCAGCTATTAAACTCCTGGATTTTTATCTCAGAGAAATAAAAATTGATTTTAACACACATCCTGTGCATAAGTGATCATAGCAGTTTTTATTCATAATTGCCCAAAACTGGAAAGAAGCCACATTCAGTAGGTCAGTGGATAAATGTCCACACAATAGAATAATCCTCAACAATAAAAGTAAACAACCTATTAATGTATCCATGATTCAGATGGGTCTCAAGTGAAATGAAAAAGCCATTCTCAAAGGGTTAAATTTATATGATTCCATTTTTATATAAGTCCCAAAGTGCCAAAATTGTAGTAATAGAGAACAAATCAGTGGTTGCTAGGAGTTGGGTTTGGGAAAAGGCTGTGATTATTAAGAGGTAACGGGGGGAATTTCTTTACAGTGATGTAATCATTCTGTATTCCCATTGTGGTGATGTTAAAATGTCACAGACTTACAAGCCAGGAAGGAAAGAATGATGGGAGGGAGGGAGACAGGGAAGGAAGGAAAGAATATAAGAAGGAAAGGATAAAGGAAAAGAGAGAGGAAGGGAGGGAAGGAAAAGGAGAGGGAGAAAGGGTGCATATAAAAACAGATGAAATCCAAATAACTTCTATATCTTTTGAGTTAAATAGAATTGTCAGTTTTCTGGTCTGGGCAATGCAGTATGGTACATATATAATAAGACATCATTGTGAGAAGTTGGATTATCATTGGGAGAATAAGATATTATCTTTGGGAAAAGAAAGCTGCACTGGAGCTCTCTGTAATGTTTTTGCAAGTTCTGGTGGGCCTTGAATTATATTGAAATGTTATTAAAAATTATACAATTATAAATTTTTAGTAGGAGACTGAATTGTAGTCCCAACAGAAAGACTTATCAATATGTTAACTGACTGGATAGATCCTGGAATGCTTTTCCAATGTTTATGTCACCTGGTATTTGGACCTGGTATTTTCTCTAATGGAAATGCTCTGTATTGTCTGTTGCCCTGCTTCCTTTGTTAAGCCAATATATACTTATCCTTTTTACAGTTTGGCCACAATGTTTCTGGGAGAGGAATTTGGGTGGTAGAATGAAATTGTTTTAATAAGAAAATGTTCACTGACCTGGAAAAGAATGGAATATGTAAGACTCCCAGTATTCCCAGGCCTTCCTCCTAGGCCTTTCCTATCTCTGCCCACATCAACAGTAGGCACCTTAATTACTGCCTTTCTCCTTACCTCTCATTGGTGATAGTGGAAGCCTTGACTCTTATAAATGTAAAGTTTAAAAGTTAAAAAATGTAAATTATTTTTTGAGGAGTTTATTATCTTCTCCCTTCTTTGTCTGACCTATTGACTTTTGCTATCACAATGGCCAAGAGGATGTAGAAGAGCAGGTGTCTGTGATATATTTTTGGGAACAATGCCCTGGATAGCTCTAAAAGCAATACCTAGCAGAGGTCAGATTAGGTAATGAATATAGGCTATTTATTCTTTACAAAGACATGTATTTAAATAATCAAAAAATGTTTACAAAATAATAAATCTGGCCTGACCCAAAGTCTACTGAATTGGTATTTTTTTTTTCAAGCAGGGTCTCCCTCTGTCAACCAGGCTGCAGTACAGTGGTGCAGTCGTTTACTGCAGCCTCAATCTTCCTGACTCAAGTGATCCTCCTTCCTCAGCCTCCTAAGTAGCTGACATTACAGGCACACTTCCATGCCCTGCTATTTTTTTTTTTTTTTTTCATTTTTAGTAGCAATGACGTCTCACTATTTTTCCCAGGCTGGTCTGGAACTCCAGAGCTTAAGCTATCTTCTTGGCTCAGCCTCCCAAGGTGCTGGGATTATAGACATGAGCCACTGCACCTGACCTGAATTAGAATATCTTACTCTGAATTTCAAAACTTGCCTAGTATAGACTTTGTGTTTGGAAGGTAAAGTAAGGACAAAATAGTTCCTCAACCTTCTTTTAGGCCTATGAATTTTTTGTTCTTAAATTGATACCAATAGTGCTTTTATATTTTAGTTTTGTTTGATTTTCAAGTTGATTTCTATATTAGGATGATGTCAGTATTTTGGTAGTGTTATCAGTTTTATGTCTTTTTTAATGCTTTCTTGGTATTTTAGGAGTAAGAATTGGTTGAGACTACATGGTGAATGCTGGTCAAATGAAATGTTTCATTCTCTGAGGTTTAGCCATTTCCAGTAACTGAATTGTACTTAAAGTTGTGCCCTAACGTGATTTGGAATAAGTGATAAATTCTTTTATGAATTTCAGTATAGTAGTGATGTGAAAACTGTAGCATAAAATCCAGATTGCTTGCTTGAAATACTATGAAATTTAATTCGTTAGATCTAAAAATTAAATATCCTTTCTAAACTAAATATGTATTTTTAATAAATAAACTTACTATTGTCAAATGCAATTAATTTACTTTACTGTTTCTTCTTTGAAACATGATATGGAAAGTAGTTGAGACCTTCATTAGAGATTATATAAAATTCCCAGTAAAATAATTGCGTATACCAATGTAGTTTTCAGTGCCAAACTAATCTTTATCCTAATATTTTTGACATGAGTGTTGATATTTAGATATACCATTTTTACCAGTTCATCTAAAGAACTTTAGCGCATATACTTCTTTTCAAAAAAATAACATTCACAAACTGACATACATATGTCCTCTATAACAAAATGACTTTATTGTGTTGTTCAGTGTTGGTTAGTTTTTCTGTTATGTTGATGCATTAAAACAGATATTAAATTTTATCATTAATTCAGTGCCTGGTCTCTCATCAAATCCCCTTAATTACAAATTGACTCCAAGGATTAGACAGCATGGATTTTAATTTTAACTGAAACAGAAAAAGGCATCTTGGAAAATCACTCTTGCCTACTGACTCTTAGACACATTTTATAGATCCTATAATTTATTAATTAGTATTTAAAATTCAATATAAAAGGTATTTTTCCAACATTTTTATTCTCTTGTATTCATATTAAATATTTTTTAAGAATATATTTCACAATCTTGAAACAAAATTTCATGTATTTTCAGATGACTGTCAGTCTCTGGGAGTTTTGATAACTTGCAGGCTTTTCTTTAGAAAATGTTAACTTTGAATCTTCTACAACCATAATTGTATCTAAATAACATATATGATCTTTTATTTGTACTTTTTAAATAATTTCACAAAATCATGCAACGTAGCTTTATATATTCCATGCAAGTGTTTTCAGTGTAATCCAGTATCTTATTTCCTGTATTGTTTGTGGCTTATGACTATTTAGTCTTCACCTTCTTTTGATACTTCCTATTTTAGGTTTAAGATCAGAGTCATTTTTGTGCATTTTATTCTCAATTTATATCAGCGTTTTTGTCTTTCTTTCCTAAAAGTGACCATTTTTATATTGTATCTTATTACATAAATTATTCATTTTAAATACTAGAATGACTATTATTTTTACTAGAAAATGAGGATAATGAAATTAAGTCATGATCATAGCAGTCAAAAAAGTACATTTGTCCACTGTATTTTTGCTCCATTATATGATAGTCAGCTTTTACACCTGAGGTGCCACTTTGAAAAATTTACTTATTGTAGTAGTTGCTGGAATCTTACTTGGGTTAGTCATTTGCTGGTTTTATCTAGATCCACAAGTTTTCATATAAGTACTTTACATTGAGAAAGACCAAGAAAGAATTACCAACAAATCTTGAGTATTCTAAGATATAGTAATATCATTTGTTTTTAATAAATTCAGCTGTATTAATTACCTTCACCTTTTGAGAAGTTGTAAAATGTAAGTAGTTGCCTTCTTTCTAATTAAGCAAATGTTATATATCTTATATTTTTGTAAATTTGATTTTTAAATGACATTCCTTTACTGGCTTTTGTTGCTGTTGCTGTTAAACTGGATTTTTATATGCTGAAGGATATTTAATGTTCAGATGAACTCAGCTCATCATGGCAGAGGAGCTGAGGAAGAAATTAATTGCCTAGAAACAGATTGTTTATGTAATATTAGATGGTAATACAAACCAACAAAAGCAAGGAAATTAACTTCTAATGCTGACACACTGTCCTCTCCTTGCTCTTTTGTGCCCATGGATATCATGCATATGTTATAATACCAAAGTATAGTGGACTCATTTCAATTCTGAATGTCTTTACTTCATTGATTTATGTCACAACGTTATTATTTTGTCTCTTAATGCTATATAGTGTCGTTCAAATGTGAGACAAAGCAATGCATGGGTGGATCTGGACAAGATGGCAAAAGTTTACTTTTATTTATTGTTGATTGACTCTGTTTAGCCAAATATTATATAGCTCTGATATTAGTCCATCACAATTTTTAAAAAGGTAATAGAAAATTATAAAATATCTGAGGAAATTTTGGGGAAAATATAGCTACTGATATAAAATTGTTATTCAGTTTTATTTTATTCCTATTCATTAATTTTTATTTCATTATTTAAAAAGGCAGACATCTCTTTAGTAAAAGCTTACATCATAGAAACTACTACGGTTTTGTTAAAAATAATCAAATATACAAACAAGTGAGATTTCAGAGAGCAGTTCTTATATAAATTGCACAAAGGAATTATTTGTGAAATTCTGAGGGTAGGACTAAACCTCTCAAAATAACCTCCAAGATTAATTTGGGAACTGATTGATACTTAGCTATTCCCTTAACAGTACCTGTTAATTGATGTATATGGTAAAATATGAAAAATTCATTTTTCTTTTGTTCTTATATTTACTAGTTAGGTAGTAACTTATCAATTTCCAGTGAATTTTATCCCTGCTTTTTAAGGGCAATTTTTTACAATTATAAGGAATAGATTGATATTTCAGTGTTTGAAAACTTATTCAATTTATGAGTTGATTTCAAAACATGAGTTCCCTGTTTTGTAGCAGTTTGGGAATGATTTTACTTACTGTTTTCTATTTTTCTCTGTAAATGATTTCTACTCCTATTTAGGTACCTATTAGGATACAGTTTTCTAAAACAGAATTGTATATTTCAATTAAAACTCTGTTTTTCTGAGTTGTCTGTTAAACCTTACAGGGAAAAAAATCAGGTATTTTCTGTAAAAACTATGCAGTAGAAGAAACAATCTAGATGTGGTCAAACAAAACATTTTGCTTTAAGAATCTAAAGAAACTGCTGTAAAGTATGGTGGAAGGGGGCGTGAAAGCTTAGGGTGGTAGAAATTTTTAAAGAAATTCCACTTTTTATTTCATGCAATTAATATTTAATTGGCTACATTCAAAAGTAGTGAAAAAATGATCTATTTGCTAGAGATTTACAGAACAACACTTTAAGCTCTTACTTATCCTGAGGTGTTGAAAGGTGAAACATTTGACATTTTCTTTTTGGGTATTGCTTTAAGAAATTGAGGGAGGGAAAGAGGCGTTGCCACATCAGAGTTAAGGGTGTTTGTGGTTGTCTGTGACAGCAGCTCTAGTTTTAAAACACCTGTGTTTACTTTCCAGCTTTTCAGAATCTGCCTGAAATTGGCCTAAGAATGGCACAGGCCCTCAGGATGGCTGTTTTTTTTTATAGTAAAGAAAAAGATCTAAACTTTACACTTTTATTTTCTGTTGCAAGCATTTAGTTATCTCCTTTTATTTTATACACTGTATCACTACACATACTTACATATGTGTTTAATGTCATTCATGGCTTATATAATATATAAATGATACTACAGCATAACCATTTCTTAAAAAATATATTTCTTCTCAGCCTTTTGCTCACTGACTAGAAAAAGCTAATGAAAACCTGCTTTTTAGTGTACAAATGTATTTTCTTTCTTAATTTAAGGAAGTTTGTGAAAAATAAAAATTGATATACCTTTTTAGAGAGAAATGAAAGAAAACTGTATGAACCAAAATGGCCTGACACATAGCTTTGTTAATTTTTTATCCTTTAATAGACATTTCTCACCTCTTCTTTTTATATATTTTGCTTTATACAAGTGGTTTTATAAACCTACAAAAGTAGTTTACCCTTTAGATTTATTTACATCTTCTTTAGTGGTTTGGAAATAGGTTGATTTTTCAGCCTACCTGTCATCTCTTAGCTGGTTAGTGTTTCCAATTTATAGACCTGTGCTTTTTAAATAATTACATGGTACATTTGTTATTTTATGACATTCATATGACACTGAAGTATTATATAAACTTTATTCTCAATTTGAGATGTTCCTAGATATGATATTTTCGTTTAATAAAATTGAGATTTCTTTCTGATTTGTTTGTTTCAGTATTTGTTTTAAGCCTCTTTATTTCTTTAGTACAGTAGTTACAGCCAGATGTCATATATTCTGTGATGCATTTCTTCTACATACAAATACTTAATTACAGTAGTGGACATTTCCATGAGATTACAGTTAATGTCAAGCCTGGTTGATATAAAAAAGGAATAATTCTGTCTTTTGACAATAAATTGATCTTATTTCTCCATACAACTGGAGTTTTAAATATTTTCTTGTGGTTGAAACTCTTTTGAGAAGCCAGTGCAAATGTCGAGTCTTCTCCCTAGAAAAATACAGATTTGAAGAAATTTGCATATAGCTTCATGGAGTTTATGTCCCTCCCAAGATCATTGATGAGATTTAGGCTAAGAACCTATATTCTAGGTCTTATTTTATTTAGGTAATTGTAAATTGTTTATATAGTTGTTTAGACAGTTGTTAATATAATGAATCACAGCAAAATCACTGAGTTAAATACAGAATTAAGTGCTTAGCTAATTTGTCACCATGTTAGGTCTTAAAAAACATAAAGCAATAATTGACCTTGCTATCTTTAAATATAAATAGTATTTTAACAATATAGTTCATACTCCATAATGGCTTCACATATATCTGTGTTCTAATCCCAGATTTTCAATAGATTTGAAATACAAATTATAGTTATATCATTTTCCAACAAGGACAATTGATAATATGCCTATTATCTGTTATACTTATTATCTCAAAATAAATTCAACTAGTATTGCATAAAAGCTATAAAATAATATTCAATAATATTCCATTCAAAAACCATAAGTTTGGTGTTGATATCCATCTGGGTGAATAATGCTCAGCTGTGGGCATTACCTTAAAGGAATTATATATGACAGTGTTTATTACCTAGAAGATAATGAAACTGTGAGAAAAATAAAATCTGAATTTTTAAAATATGATGAAAGTATTTAGGAAATGTTTTTTAAATATAAGGAAAGTGGTAAAGTTATTTTAAATGGCATAAACTATATAAACATAACTAGAATAAAGTAATAAGGATTTATAATAGTTCTGTATTAAATATAGTTTAACATGGATCAGAAGAAATGTTTCGTTCAGATGAAACAACTGCTAAGTAAAAGGTAATTTTATTTTAAGTGTTCCATTTTCATTCTTTTCTGTGACTAAGAAGGAAGTACAGGGGAGGAAAGACTCTTAGGGCTATTAGGACATTTGTTTCCAGAAACTTGGATTGTTTAACTTAAATCATGAAACCTGACATAGTATTTCCATTGAGTGTATCAGTTTTGTACTAATGACAATTTCCAATTGGTAGTACTATATACCTGTGACCTAACTTTCAATCTAATCATGTATATTCACTTTATTATATTATATAAAATTTAAGACTCTCTAACAAAAATGTAATATATCTATCTGTCTCAAGCACATTTTTAACTTCCCTATTTTTAAGACTATAGTTTTCTCTATAGCAGATTTTTTCAATCTGAAAGCTATCAGTCTTGTTTTTAGAATGTATTTATTATAAAATACTGGGTGTTTTACAATCATACTTCTCTAAAAATAATATTGTCCTATGTAATTCTGAAGTAGAAATGGGAAAGCTTCTAAGATCAAAAATATATAGTAAAATAAATAAAAATTTAGATAGCATTTAAGATAATTGAACCAAGAGAAGGGAAAGCTTCTTAAAACAATGCAAATATTTGATAATGCTGCTTGGAGAATTATATATTATTTCTTGTCCAACTAGAAGTGTGAAGTAGAAAAATGTTAATCAGTTATTAGGAAAAACATTATGTGACAATTCCTAAACAATATAAGAGCTTGAGAAACATTGTTAGACTCTCATTTTAGAAAGGATGAAAGAAAACTTGAGGTATTCAGCATTTTTGGAGAATCGTGGGGTTTTTTTTAAAACAATTATTTGTTTAAAAGACAACTGAGACTTTAAGCACCTGTAAGCCTTTTTTTTCAACTGTTACTATCTTTCAAAAATGCATTAATACATTTGCTTGCCGTGGTAAATTTTGTAAATCGAATGTACTTGTATTGGCTAGTATTTGCTTGTTTGTTTCAAGGGTTAAAAAACCACACCCTAAATTGCTTAAGCATAAAAGAAACTTATTTTTCACATAGTTGAAAAGACCAAGGACAGGGCTAACTTTCAGAGATTTTTTATTATTTGTTTTGTTTTTTTTTTCAATCAATTTTACTGGTAATAAATTTAATCAATTTAAGGTATACAGTTCAATGCATTTTGATATATATGTCCACTGTAATGAAGATACAGAGCATTTCTATCATCCCACCAAAAGATTTTTTTATGCTGTCTTCCAGCCTCTACCCCCAGCCCAGCCTCTACCCCAGCCCAGCCAATCACTCATCTGCTTTTTTGTCTGTATAAGTTCATTTGCATTTTCCAGAATGCTATGCAAGTAAAGTGATATAATACCTACTTTTTTGTGTCTGGCTTCTTTCAACATGATGATTTTGAGATTCATCCATGTTGTGTGTAATAGTAGCTCATTTCTCTTTACATTTCAGCAAAGTCTTGTGTAGGACTCAAAAACTTTTTTTCTGTGTCTGAGTTTTGCTTGCTCTCTTCTATGTATTGGCTTGAGTTTCAAGAGGTAGAAGTTTCTGCCTTCTCAACTTCCCAGTTGAAGGCTAGTGAGAAAAACAAGTTGTTTATCAAAAATAAAAACAAATTGTAGAATTCGGTCTTTTAAACTTGGATTGGACTGCTAGACGTCATGTGCTTATTCATTTATCTCTAAACTGATTACTGTAATCAATGAAAATAAATATACTGACTGCCTTAGGTAAATCTGCTCCTAAGGTTATATTATGAATAGGGAAAGGATGATTTTCTAAAATAAATTTGAAATATTGTCCTACCAGAAAAACTATAAAAGAATGAAAGGTGACAAAAACAAAAAACACATTTTTACTGTAATAATGTGTCTTCTTTATAAGACCAAAACATGCATGCTGGCATGTAGTAAAAGAGTTTTTCTGTTTCTTATCTTTTCAACTCTTGAAGGAAGAAACATAATCCCAGAGTTAACATATGTATGTGTAGATATTGTACCTAATCACATGACTCATATGGAGTAGATATGTTGTTTTCCAGCTGGATTCTCTGACATTATGGTAACCTGAGTCTTTCTTTACTCTTTTTCCTGTCAATTTTTGTATTATGTATTCATTGTTCTATCTTCTGAGTCTTGATTTTAGATTCCTGAGAATTTTTTATTCATTGGAGTAATAAGACTAGAGAGACTAAAACAGTTGAAGTGAAGAATCTGAAAGGAGAGCCTATTTTTGTAACCACTTTTATCTCATAGGCATGTATTTATTATCTGCAGGCAGAAATCTGAAAATTATAGCTTTATACTTATGGAGAACCATTGTCAGGTATGTTTTTAAAAAAACAGATTTTTGGTTGATATTGAGGGGAGGGAGTCTTAAACACACATCCAATAGTGCCTTCTGGATATCTGCAGCTGCACAGATTTGGAGATTAAAAACAAACAAAAAGTCTGAAAAGCAGAATGGACTTTGCAGCTGTTTTATAAGAACTAGAGGCTGGATGCAGTGGCTCACACCTGTAATCCCAAAACTTTGGGAGGCCGAGATGGGTGGATCACCTGAGGTCAGGAGTTTGAGACCAGCTGGCCAACAGGGTGAAACCCTGTCTCTACTAAAGAAAAAAAAAATTTGTTGGTCATGGTGGTGGACATCTGTAATCCCAGCTACTCCAGTGGCTGAGGCAGGAGAATCACTTAAACCAAGGAGATGGAGGTTGCAGTGAGCTGAGATCATGCCATTGAACTCTAGCCTGGGCAACAAGAGAGAAATTCTGTCTCAAAACAACAACAACAACAAAAAGAACTAGAGGCTAACTGTTCTCCATATTCTACAGTTGTTAATTAAAATAATCAGCCCCCACTTTATCTGCCTGGCAGAGAAGGTTAAACCTCAAGACAAAATAATATCTGGAATGTCTACTTGTATATTATATACAATGGAAGACATTCCATTGAAAATTACTAGATACACAAGAAGATATGACCAAAGGCTGAAAACAAAGAGAAATGCACATTATATAAACTGACTCAAAGTTAATCCAAATATTGGCATTAGATGACAGGGACTTTACAATAGCCATGATGAAAATATCCAAAATGGTAGGAGAAATAACAGAGAAAGTAGATGAAAATATTAAGCATTTCATAAAAAATTGTAATCTCTATAAAATAATCAAATGGAAATAAAATAGAAAATCTAGTAATGATGACTACAATATCTGACATTAGATGGACTTAGCAGAAAAATTAGTAAACTAGATAACAAGTCAACAGTAAATTTTTTAATTATAGCAAAGATAAAAAGGAATTAGGGGAGAGGAGACATAGCTGAAGAGACAGTGAAATTCAAAATAGTACAGTATAGGTATAATTGGAGTCTGAAGGAGATGACAAAGCCAATATGACAAGCAGGAATTTACAAGATAATAGCCAAGATTTCTCCAAAAATGGGGGAAATTTGAAACCACAAATTCTTGAAGCTCTAAGAACACCAAGTAGGATAAATAAAAGAAAATGACACATGGACACAACACAATTGAAGTAATACACAGAGATAAAGAGAAAAATTTAAAAGACAGAGAAAAAAAAATGTTGTTTAACAAACAGCATTACTGACTGCTGAATTCTCAGTAGAAATAACAGATGACAAAAGAGCTTAGAATAACATTGTTAACGCTCAAAAAAAAAAAATGCCAGTGTAAAATTCTATACCTAGTTTAAATATCTTTCAAAGTGGAATGTGATATACTGACATGTAAACATAATTCAGACAAACAAACCCCAAGAGAATTAGTCACATGCAGATGTGAATTGAAAGACAAAGTAAAGGGAGTTCTTAAAACAAATGGAAAATGATACCAAACACAAACTTAGAAATGTAAGAAGGAATTCAGAGCAACCAGAAGGAAAAATGTATTTGTAATTTTAAAATATTTACCTAATGAAGCCCATTCAAAATTAATAATAAAGGCTCATGCCATTTCACATGCATGTATAAATTAAAGTCCATGAGAAAAATAACCTTAAAGCCTAAAAGTGGGTAATGGACTCAAAATGTTCAAAGGTTATAGCATTACTGGAGAAGTGAAATGAAGAGGGAAAGTGATATAATAGTCCAAACTAATATTAAAGTAGTAAACATAATCCTTGTTAAACAAAATGGACTAAATGTTCCAGTTATTCCAATTTTGTTTTTTTTTAGAATTGTTTTAGCTATACTACTTCCTTTGCCTCTTATATGTTTTGAAATCAACCTGTCTACATCTACAAAAAAAATCCGATTCAGCTTTTCATAGGAGAAATGGCATCTTTACTCACTGAGTCTTCTGATCAAGGAACAGTATGTGTGTCTCCAGTTATTTAGGTCTTCTTTGATTTATTTAATAAGCATTTTGTAGTTTTGAGCATATAGATTTTGTATATTTGTTGCATTTACACCTAAGTAATATTTAGCACTATTATAATGGTATTAATATTATTTTAAAATTTTGCTTTCTAATTGTACATTAATAGTATATAGAAATATGGTTGGTTTTGATGTTTCATTCTGTATCCTACAGCTTTGATGGACTTACTTATTAATTTTACAGTTGCTTTTTAAAAGATTACTTGGGATTTTCTATGTAATCATGTCATCTACAAATAGAGACATTTCTAATACTTTCCATGATGTATACCTTTTATTTCTTTTTCCTTCCTTGTAGCATTGACTGTGAGTTATTTAGCTATATCAAATAATAGTGGTGATAAAAGATATCATTGCCTTGTTCTCCATCTTGAGGGAAAGTATTCAGTATTTTACCTTAAGTATGTTGCTAGCTGTGATTATCTGTAAATATCCCTTATCATTATGAGAAAGTTTTAGTCACTTGACTAGTTTGCTAAATGTTTTTATTGTGAGTGGATGTTGAACTCTGTGGGAGGCTATTTCAGCATTAGTTGGGCACAAAGGTAATTTGAACTTATGAAATAAAAAATAGACATAAAATGAGTTGTAATTTATTAAAGAAATTAAAACAGTTTTGTGCAACTTGGCTGCCTGTAGTGGTTAAAATTGTGTCCCCTGGAAGATATGTTCAAATCCTAACCCTGGTACCTCTGAAGTGACTTTATTTGGAAATAGGATTTTTGTAAATATAATTGAGTTAAAATAAGGTTATACTGGATTAAGGTACCCTCTAATCCCATGACTGGGGACATTATAAGAGGAAAAATTGGACACAGACACAAAAGATGCAGAAAAGAAAGCTATGTAATGAGGAGGCAGAGATTATAGTAATGGGTCCACAAGCCAAGGAACATAAAAGATTAATGGCAACTACCAGAAGCTGGGAGAGAGGCACGGAAGGTCCCCCCTCAGACCTTCCATAAGAAAGCAACTGTGCTGACACCTTGATTTTGAACTTCTGGCTTCCAGAAATGTGAAAGCATTTCTGTGAGTTTTAAGCCACCCAATTTGTGGTTCTTTGTTTCAGCAGCCCTAGGAAATTAATACACTGCCCTTTCTAGTAACATTTTTTTGAGTTCTGAAACATTCTTATTTTCCAAAAAAAAAGGTGTGTTTTTTGTTTTGTTTTACTATATGAATACTTGTTGCAACATACATGCAACATCAAACTCAGGTGGTTTGTTCTTTTTTGGGGGGCTCCTTGTAGTTTTTTAAGTGATCATCAAACAAGTTTAGAGAAAAGCATATAAATTACTTATCCTTATTATGTTTCTAAATTAAAGAAGGATATTTTTTGTCCCATCCTTTGAAAATATGATTTTATGGCAGGCCAACCTTTTATTTGTTTATTTAGTTTTATTTTTCCATAGGTTATTGGAGTATAAGTGGTGGTGTGTGGTTACATGATTAAGTTCTTTAGTAGTGATTTGTGAGATTTTGGTGCACCCATCAACCAAGCAATATACACTGCACCCTATTTGTAGTCTTTTATCCCTCTCCGCCTCTCACCCTCCCCTCAAGTCTCCAAGGTCCGTTTTATCATTCTTATGCCTTTGCGCCCTCATAGCTTAGCTTCCACTTATCAGTGAGAACATATGGTGATGTTTGGTTTTCCATTCCTGAGTTAATTTACTTAGAATAATAGTCTCTAGTCTCATCCAGGTTGCTGCAAATGCTGCTAATTCATTCCTTTTTATGGCTGAGTAGTATTCTATTGTGTGTATGTATATATATACATATATATATGTATATATATCCACAGGTTTTTTTATCCATTCATTGATTGATGGGCATTTGGGTTGGTTTCATGATTTTGCAATTGGGAATTGTCCTGCTATAAAAATGAGTCTACAAGTATGTTTTTCATATGACTTCTTTTTCTCTGGGTAGATTCCCACCAGCAGCGTAGAAGTGTTCTCTAATCACTGCATCCATCTACTGTTCTTTGATTTTTGGATTATGACTATTCTTGCAAGAGTCAGGTGGTATAGCATTGTGGTTTTGATTTGCATTTCCTTGATCATTAGTGACGCTGAGCATTTTTTTCATGTTTGTTGGCCATTTACATATCTGCTTCAGAGAATTGACTATTCATGTCCTTAGCCCACTTTTTGATGGGATTGTTTGTT